TTGCCCTCCGCCTGGCCCGCGTGGCTGCGCCTGCTGCTGGGCCTCGGCCCGCTGGCGCACGGTGCGTACCTGCGGGCGGCGGATCGCGCGCTTCGCGGCGGGGCGGGGCGGGGGGCGGCCCTGCTCGGGGCCCGTGGGCGGCGGGCGTGGCGGGCCGCGCGGGTCCCGGATCGTGCGCTTCGCAGCGGCTGCGGCGCGGGGGGCGCGTGCGCTCGCGGGCAGGGCTCTGTATAGGATGCGCCTGCCTCTGCCTGCGCGGCGCGGCGCGGCTCCCTGCCCTGGCTCGGGCCCTCCTCTCGAGGCGCGGGGCAGCTCGCGCGCCTCCGGGTGATTCGCGGGGCAGGAAGAAGGCAGGACGCTCAGGATCGGGTTTGCGCCGGGGCGCCGCCGGAGCACTGGCGGAGGGTGCTTTTCCTGAGCGAAGTGAAGCAGGTGCATTGTGACAGCCGCCTCTTAGGCGGAGCCGAATTACTCCCCATTATACGCCTGAGAGAAATAGCCAAATTGAGGCCGGGGGAGAGGTCTTTGGGTGGACGTTAGCCGGGACGGAGGTTCACATGGCTCTGCGCCCTGAATTGCAGGCACTGGACCAAAACAGTAGGAAGTTGCAACAAGCTGGGGTCAGATGATGCGATCACCCACCCTCGAGGGTTCGGTGCAGCTTGTCGCTGAACCAGGGGCTGTTATTCAAGAGGGTCGTCTGAACCCAGGCCCAGAACAAACCAGGATAACAGTCCACAGTTCGGAAGCCAACAGTCTGCGGCCTTCCTCCAAACACCAGGGCCCTTGGGGTCATCCACGAGGACTCTCCTTGTCTTCTTGCCTTAAAAGGATAAGCTGGGCCTAATGTAAGATCAGGACAGCTGTGGCCTTCCAGATGCCACTGGACTGCACCCTTCAGCAGGGACCACAGTCCAGGAATGGCAGCAAGGCGGCACCAGGTGGATTCCCTGCCAGTGCCTAAATGGAAGACCCCCTCTAATGTGCTCCCAGCCCCTCATCAGGCCAGGACTGCACCTCTGGGCCAAAGTCCCAAATAACCACCCAGAGAACAACACCTTATTTTATTCCTGTCGCAAGGAAGGCGGCAACGAGGGGAAGGGCCTTCTTGATAGCGGCCTCTCTCTTACGGAGTCGGAGTCGACTCCCCAGGGAGGTGTGCTGGACGCCAGAGCTTCATGCATTTTGGCACCAGGTCAAACCCTTTTTTTTCTCCCATAATTTTAATTGTTGCTTGAGATGTGTTTTTAAACTGTCTTTTATTATAAGATTGCTTGCAGTGGTTTTATATGTTATAATTTATTCTTTGTGGTTTAGTTTGTTTTGCTTGTAGCCTTGTATAGACTGTTTGGTTATTGTTATGCTATTGTAATGTTTAGCTATCTGTAAACTGCCCAGAGAGCAATGTACTGAGGGAATAGTATATTAGCCTTTTGAATGAATGAATGAACGAATGAATGGTGTAGTATATTGGCCTTTTACATAAATAAATAAATAAATAAAAGGTGTCAATCTTTAAGTGACTTTAAAGAGTCAAGCTGCACATGCTCCAGGTATTATCATTTCTAAAATCGGGAATGGCAAAGCTTTGTTGACATCCTACAATGCCAGGAATGCAGAAGCAATTTTAGAGCATGGAGTTGCAGTCAAAGGAGCAGAAGAGAAATGAAGGTTGTGAGCTTTGCAACAGGAGGAATAGACGTGGCTCTCTAAAAGATTCCCATTAAGGGCACAATCCTGTGGATTCTTAGGCTGAAAAATGCCCTACAACGACAATTCTCCCATGCTGGTTACGGGATTCCGGGAGTGGCAGGGCACGTCTCTTGTCTAAGCATCAATCCTAAGGCCACTGAGTCTGGGGTCTAAAGCCGCCCGCCAGCAGCACCACTCAGAGCTCCTGTGCCCTGCACACCCCTGCAAACCCGAAGTCTAGACAGGCGTCATTGACAGCCTCCATGAGAGGCTCCGGCAAACATTTCCCAGGGTCCAGGCAGAGGCAGCGTTCGGCTGCTGCTGTCCTTCCACGATCCCTCGGCGCTGGCTTCAGGAAAGGGACTGGAGAAGTTCATTGTCCGGGAGAAACGCCGATTCCGTTTGACTTCTCTCTGAGAATTTTTCCAGTGCTGAGGCCTGTTTTTCCTCCCTTGGGCTCTGCGGGAAGCTGATGTGGGTGCACGGAGGGACAGACTGAAACTGGCTTAAGATCTTGCAGTGTTGCCAGGCAACGCGATTGCGCATGCGGAGACCTGAGCAGAGGGGCGTCCTCAGCGTCTCACCCAGCAGCTCCAGGAACTGTGCAGGGCTGAGGTTGCTTGGGAGTGCAGGTGTCGCCTCCATCCAGTTTCAGACTGCTGGTACCCGAGCCGTGCCTTTTTGGGGAAAAGGGTGGGTGGCAGCTTCTTTCTTCTTTATGTATTTATTGCATTTATACCTTGGCTTGTTTCCTCTTGCATGGAACTCGAGGCCACTTGGAACTTGTGGGCGCATGTGCATTAGCACGCATGCACCTGTGGTCTTTTTTGGTCCTGCAGGTGGCGCCCAGACCTTTCTGGTACCTTGCACTGCTTGTTCTTCCTTTAACTGAGACCTCTTCCTGCTGCTCACAGCAGCGCATATGATGGAGGCGTAGCCCTGCCCCAGAACCTCACTTCTCCAAAAACACGCCCCATCCCAAACCAGTCCACCCCCTTAAGACTGGACTGCGGGACTCTGCTGAATCCAGCTCTTCCTTTCCTGGTTTTCAGGAAAGACCTCTGGAAAATGCTGTCCCTAGAATTTATGTTCTCAATCCTTTTCTTCCTTCCTTCCTTCCTTTCTTTCTCTTTCTGGACCTTTCCACTCGCAGGTCTACGCATCCAAGAATATCTCTATTTCCAGGTGCTGAGCCCTGGGGATATCCGCTACATCTTTACCGCCACGCCAGCCAAAGATTTTGGGGGAGTATTTGTAAGTATGAAAGCCAGGCAAGAGCAAACTCTGTCTTTTTATTTACTGCCCACCTCCCAACTCTGCTTGATGTTCAAGGCAGCCTTTCCCATGGTGCTTTGATTTTTTTGCAGGAAATTGAGGGGATAGTTAAAATAAAACCCCAATAAGGATGGTATGGAGTGAGATTGAACAACAGGATAACCCACATTCAAGGGTTGTGTTTCAGTTGTGACTGAACCATGGGTTATTGTTGAAATGTAGGTTATCATGTTGTCTGAACCCAGCTAAGGCAAGAAGCCATGGGTTGTTAGTCACAGACAACCCATGAAGACAGACCACGGTTTGTGTTTGCATTGCGAAGTATGGGTTGTTCACCATGGTTTGTTATCTAGGCAGGATCCTACGGGGCCAAGCAGAGCCAGAGTGTGGCCCCTTCTTGTGTCTTCTGCAGAGCTGGGCGCTGCAGTGGTGACTTCTGGCCCTCTGTAGCAGGGGCGCAAGGAGCAGCAGGTCACCCATCTGGCAAGATCGCACACGCCCACTTGGGATAAGGCAACCCGGCCCCCTTGCCAGAGCTCACAGCTTGAGATGCAGCACCAGCCGTACCCTAAATCTAAAGTCCCGAGTTGGGTGGCTGCATTAAAGTTCTAGCCAATTCATCCAGTTGATTGAAGGCACGGTTAGCTGAGACACGCCGAGAGCTGTGGAACTCTTTCTCCTGTCTAAGCGTGCAAGAATGGCGTGTTCTCATCGAATCATCCTGATTAAATAAGCAGTAGATTTAGGTTTTCAACGATCAGTACGGGTACCTATAAAAATGGCTGGCACTATGCAAGAGGTGAGCCTCTGCCAACTCCCTCCTGCGTGCACGGACCTCGTGGGACTGCTTCTGAAGACCACCTGGACACTTCGCTCGGGGGCTGATGCCACCCCCACCCGGAGCCTTTCTCTGGACAAACCTTCCCTCTTTCCCCCTGCCCAGAGTCATGAAGGCCGGGCGATCATTCAGGAAGACAGTAGGTAGGGAAGCCACGTTTTCTTCCGAGTAGGCCCAGGAGGGCATGACATGCCCCCCCCCCCAGCAAGCAATTTCTCTGCAGGGCATCACGTGCGCCAGGCAGGTCGGTGGGGGTGGAACTCGGCTTGTCCCCATGGCAGCTGATCTGGCAGAGAGGGGTTCGGGCAGAGGGAACCCCAAAAGCCTCCCGAAGGTGCCGCTTGGGCGCTTTGGGGCAGCTGTCGTGCCTGCTCGGTTCTTCTGAGGGATATCAGTGGGGAGATGTGGGAGTGAGCCCAGTCGTTGCCGGCAGAGCACGACCGACCTCGGGCTCTTTTAAGCCCACACGGCTCGCTAAGGCCTCTGCTGCGACGAGTGTGCCTTTGCGACACCATTTTCCCTGCCCCGGCGGCCTGGCACAGCCCTCCCTCAGCAGAGTGGGAAGGAAGAGGCAGGAAAATTGGGCGCGGGCCCCGATTTCTCCCGCGCTCCGCAGCCCGTGGTAACGCCACTGTTTTGTGTGTCTCTTCCAAGAACACCAGATACGAGCAGATCTACCTGGTCCCCACAGATCCGCCGGAGGCTTGTGGGGTGCTGAACAACGGGGTCTTCATCGAGGGCCAGATTGCCCTGGTGGAGCGTGGGTGAGTCTCTTCGCACCCCGGAGCGTTTTGTACCATGGGGGCACCAGACCGCCGAACAGAAATGTGCCGGCTGTGCTCGGGTGTCATCGGAGGGCCCCTGCGGTGGCCAGTGAACGTGAGCCCGGCCCAGCTCAGCCCGTCTGGCCGAGGGCTTGGTCGCCACTGTGGCCTGTCAGATGCCCCCGGGAAGACGGCGAGCAGGGCAAGCAGCTGGCCGCGGGCCCGTCTTGCTCAGCACCTCCATGTGGAGCTTCCCCTTGGATGGCACCTGTGGCTCGTGGCCCTCAGTAAGTGCATGGGTGCGACCATTCCTTTAATTTCCAGGCTTCACCACGGTCAGGTCGCCAAAGCTGCCCCCGCGCAAGAGGGACCTCCCGCCAGTAACGAGGACGCGGTGCGCGCGGTCGCTCTTGCCGAGGGCGAACGGCCCCCACCTGGCCTTTGCCATCGGGGTTTAGTCTTGCCCGTCTCCCAGCCTCAGCCACCCTTCTGCAAAACGGGAGAGTAACACTTTGGGGGCTCATGAAACCACCACCTGGTACCAGAATCGTCCCAAATGCTGGGATGCGGCAGCTCAAAGTGCTCCCTGGCAGCCCTGAGTCTGTCCTGGTGCACAAAAGCTGGGAAGACGCCAAGGACCTGCCGAGAACATGCCAACCGGCCAGGGAACATAGTGCAGCACCCCAGATTTAAGCGCCCCGAGGCTGCGGGGTGAAATCCAGCCTCCGTGTGCCGGTGCTTTCGGGGAGCCCCTAACCAAAGCAAACGGGGTTGATGGAGAGTGTGTTTGTTGTGGATGCTTCTGGCCCCTTCTCACCCAAAACCGGGCGGGTGGAGAGCCGGTGCCGAGGGGGCAGGTTGGAGAGACCCACTTGAATTCCCCACCCAGCTGCCTAAGCTCACCGGGTGACTTTGGCCCAGCCACCAGCCCTCACAGGGTCGTTGTGTGGATGAAATGGGTGCGTGGCATTTGGGGCACATTGGTCTGACCGCCCTGGGGGGGAGAGAAGCACCCAAAGGCGCCTGGGACTGAGCCTGGCATGCAGGGAAGGACCTTCCGTTCTCCGTCCCTTACGGGGCATCCTCCCCAGCCTCGTGCCCTCTGGAGGTGTTGGACGTGGACTACAGCTCCCATCATTTCCCGCCAGCCTGGCATTGGGGCACCTGGCTGGGCGAGGCCGCCTCAGCAGGACTTAGAAGCGCCCCTGCCGAGGGCTGGTTTTCGCGCAGGCTTGGAGCCCGGCGGGCTCGGCTGGGAAGGGGGGGAAGGCCGCGGCTCCTTTCGATGGCCAACACGGGGCGTCCCCCGTTTCAGACACTCCCCGTCCACTTCGCAGAGGGCCGCCCCTCTCCTGCCTCCCGTGGCCCTGCCTCGCGTGCCCGTGGCCCCTGCGCAGCGCGAGGCGCAAAGCTGCGCCTCACTGCCCTGTCGCCCACAGGGGCTGCTCCTTCCTGTCCAAAACCCGCGTCGTCCAGGAGCACGGGGGCTGCGCGGTCATCATCGCCGACAACGCCTACGACAACGACAGCTCCTACGTGCAGATGATCCAGGACAGCACGAGGCAGACGGCCGACATCCCCGCTCTCTTCCTGCTCGGGAGGGATGGGTGAGCAGCTCGGAGCTGGCACAGCGAGGGGGCACGTGGGCGCGTCCCGGGCTCAGGGCTCCTGGCAGGAGTGCGCGAGGGAGCTTTCCACTGGCCGTTGCGCTCTGCCGGCACCAGACGGACATGCACGGCAAAACGGGAGGGAGGGCAGGCGGGCATCACACGGCCCTACCTTACAGGGGCGGTGTTGAGTTGGTGAAATGAACTTGTGAATATTTCGAGCACTTGTGAAACGCTTGAAAGGCGCCATGCCATTGCCGTGAGCTTATATGAGAACGACCCACAGCCGCACTTTGCAGATGGTAAAACTGGACCCCTGGCAAGCCCCGCCCCGCCGCCCCTTCTGCCGTGCTCCGAATGCCTTTCTTCTTAGGAAGCCTTGTTAGGGCAACATGCTGTCCCAGGGATTTTCATGCTCATTGTGCTTACCGTGTTTGTGATGCATGATTGGGAGAGGTGGATGAGGTTTTACATCTCATTATATTGTGTACTCTTTTGGGCTGCTAATTGATCTCGGGGGGGGGGGGATCTCGGCTTTAAAAATAATGGGGAGGCAGTACTGGATAAATGCAGACCAGCTGAACACACCCAGGAGTTACTGCTGCTTTCGCTCAGGGACGTGGCACCTCCAGCCTGCGGGCCGCATCCAGCCCAGGGTCGTTCAGCATCTCGCTGCGGAGCCTCCTCAGAGGCCCCAGAGGGCAGTTTCTGGCCTGCAAGCTCTGCTCCCTGGAGGCATCTGTCCTGTTGTGCTGTTGCTTCCTTAAGAGCAGGGAAGCAGGCAGTGAGAGCCCCAGATTGGGCCCGTCCCCGTGCTGAGGGACGTGGAAGTCCAAGACTGGGTTTGGGCACCGCCAAGAGCACACTCAGGTTGAACCATGTGGTGCTATTGAAGCGTGGGTGATGGTGTTGTCTGAACCCACCGGCACGAACACAGCATGACTTGCTACTCATGAACAACCCGTGAAGAGAACCCGTGGTTTGTTGCCGCACCCACAGACATCGGTCCACTCACGCATTCTGCCCCCGAGTTGAGTGACTGACGTTTCAGTCCGGAGTTTTACCTCATTCCTGTCTGCAACTGTCCTTCCAGATACATGATCCGGCGATCCCTGGAGCAGCACGGCCTGCCCTGGGCCGTCATCTCCATCCCCGTCAACATAACCAGTATCCCCACCTACGAACTCATGCAGCCGCCCTGGACCTTCTGGTAGCAGGACGCAGAAGCGATGGAGAGGAGGCGGCCCGGAAGCGGAGCGAGCCGTCCAGAGCCCAGCCGGAGCAAAACGCGCTCAGGGAATGGGCTGAACAGATCGGAGACCCGGCAAGCTGGCTTCCTGCGAGCACCCCGGGGGGCCTCCGTCAGCGGATCACGGGAGCTGCCCACAAAGTGGACCAAGCCTTCCTGCATCAACTGGAGATCACCGCTGGCCGGAGCCCTTGGGCGGGCGGGCAGCCAGCCAGGCGGGCCTGCTTGGGGGATGCGTCTGTGGAGCTTGTGGGCCATGGCAGGCTGTCCTGAGTCCAGAGGAGTGACGGGGTGTCCAGCCAGGGGGCAGCGGAGTCTGGACTTAGAAACATCGAAACAGCGCGAGTCAGAAGGGGCCTCCTGGGCCATCTAGTCTGACCCCCGGCTCTGCTCATGACATGCCTACCATGCAGCGCTGAAGCTCCTGGGTGTTTTTACTAGCAGGGACATGGGGGTCCCCTGCTGCTCCCCCCACCCCCAGGCTTCCCTGCTGCCCCTCAGTCCTCACAGCAATTGCTGACAAAGGAATTCTTACAGGAACAAGAGAAGGTACCTGGTTGCAGTGCAGAGACTTTTGGGATGGTTAGGTCCCCAGTGGGCAAGGGAGACCCATTGGGAGGCGGGAGCTGCTAGAAAGGGATCGCTGCACTTGGCCACCGGTTGAAATAAGATGCCAGCCCTTTTCTGTTCTCCAGCCTACGGTCCGTACGGCATGGGTTAGGCCCAGGAAATTGTGCAAATATTTGCCGATTGTAGGGTTGTGACATCCCCAGCCAGCATCAGGCTTCTGAAAATCCTCCTCCTGGAGCCATGTTTTCAAAGGGTTTTTGTGGACCTCCCCTCAGTGAGTCATGAGGACTAGAGGATTGCTTTGAAAGGAAAAAGAAAGCTGGGACTCTTGGGAGTTGCTGTCACATTGCAGCTGCTTAACTGCCAGGGTCTCCAGCGACCCGTGTTCCCAACTTGGCGTCTTTCCCGCAGGAGGCAAACCGTGGTCCCTGTATCAGTGGTGATCCATATTGCTTGGACATCCCTGTAGGACGGGAGCAGACTGCATGAGCCCTGCAGGTCCTTTGGCCTACAGCTCCCATCATCCCCAGCACTGGCACTGCAGGCTAGAACATACCTGAGAGCAGCCTTCCACAAGATACAATTCCCAACTTTCCCCGACCCGTGCGGCCAAGACCAACTCTAGCGGAAGCGAGGGACAGACCACCGCCGGCTCCTTCGAGCAGCATTAAAATCAAACTTATGTACAAGCCCACGTTTCTCTTTAGCCTCCTCTGGCACCAGGTGTGCTGGACTACAGCAGCCATTACCGCCTGTGCTGGCTGGGGATGATAGGGGCTGTAGTCAGTCTGCAGTGCTGCCAGGTCTGAAAAGGCTTTTTTAGTGTGTGTTGTGACGTTAAAAATTAAATACCCTCCCACGTTTACTTGCATGTATATCAAGATGTGGTCATGGGTGGTGGTGGGGGGTGCTTTCATTCCTAGGGTGGCCATCGGTGGAGATGACAGATGGCAATGGCCGTGGGGCAGTTGCTGTCCCGGATGTGGGGCACAGCACTATTTGTGCAGAGGAATGATTAAAAACAAAGCATCTGCAGGTTTTTCCCTGCTTTTCAGACAAAAGAGAGTTTGGTTCAAAATGCACTGATGTCCTGCTGCGCATGTTTTTCCCACTCTCTCACAGAAAGTGCCCCCAATTTCATTTTGCAGTTGGAACCTGCTCTCCCTTTGGTCGGGGGAATGATCTTTCCTCGCAAAGGCGGCCTTGCGGGGAAGCGGGCATCCCCCAGCCTGCAAAAACACGGGGACAGATACCTCTCCTACATGTGCCTGTCTTCCTCAGGAGGCAGACTCGGGTGGAACCCTGCAGACAGTGTGTCGTGGGCACTCTCACACAATGGCTGACGGGGGAGGATGGGAGGCTGGTCACAAAACACCAATTTCGACAGAAGCCGCTGCCCAAGTACGTGCATCTCGGGCCAAGGTGGAGCAAAGCGCACGGAGAGAGGGCACTGCACCTGGCGTTGCGGCGAGCCAACTTCTCAGTTAAAGAATACTTCATTTAAAAATCTTCCAGAAATAAAATGAACATCAGTGGGGCACGGAGAAGAGATCCAGATGGGGCAAGAAGATCGCCTGTGGGGCTAACACACTGGAGACCTCAGCCTTGCTTAGCAGAAACGCAATACAAGAGCCAGAAGCTATGCAGGGCTTCCTGTTTGAGCATATGAGTAAATTGCACCTGATGCTCAATAAGGCCCCAATCCAGAGCAGGTCAGACCTGCTTTTGTCCCGCTGAACTCCTGATAGCTCAGGTTAATCACAACTCATTTCTATCCCATTCATTTTGACAGGATGCCAGGGGCATTCACAGGGTCTTGACTGGCAGAGAAAGTTAAGCAGGGCTACTTTTCTGGACCACAAGGCGATCAAACCGGTCCGTCCTAGAGATCAACCCTGACTGCTCTTTAGAAGGCCAGATCCTGAAGATGAAACTCAAATACTTTGGCCACCTAATGGGAAGGAAGGACTCCCTGGAGAAGAGCCTGATGCTGGGAATGATGGAAGGCAAAAGGAGGAGGGGGCGGCAGCGGATGAGGTGGCTGGATGGGGTCACTGAGGTGCTGGGGGTGGGCTTGGGTGGACTCCAGGGATGGTGGAGGACAGGAGAGCCTGGAGGAATGTCATCCATGGGGTAGTGATGGGTCGGACATGACTTCGTGACTAACAACACTTTTCTGAAGGAAGCCATCATGGGCAAGATGATCACCTCTTTTTAAAGGCATGGATGGAAAGCAAGCTTAATACAAAAGTTGCAAAGCAGCTGACTAGGCTGGTGAAATAACAATACAAACCGACAAAAATATCGCGGGAGCTTGGAAGGGCGGTGAAGAAGGCATCCCGCTGCCCCCTTCGTGTTTCCAGCAGGGTTGCTTTGCGTGAAATGCCAGCCCTTCCCCAGGTGCAACTCCGAAATTGCCCACCCCGCGGTCCCACGCAAACAGCCAGGAGCACAGCAGAAGAGGACGCAGACAGGGTGCAGAAGAACCACCAGGCGCGAGAGCCGGCTGGCGAAAGTGAGCAGGCATCGCATCGCATGTGCGTGAGGTTTGGTGCTTTATGAGGACACATCAGTATAATAAACGTTCGGTGTTTTCCCCTTGCAAAATAAAGGGAAATTCCAGGGTTGCGGGTCAGAGTTCTGCTACTGACGAGACGAAGTCCTTGTCGATGTGAGGCTGGGTGTTGTGTAGGGTTCCAGATGCACCGCCCCCTGCTCTGGCGAGGGCCTCCACGTCCCACCCCCACCAGGCACGCGCAGTCCCTGGGCTGTGTTCACGATTGTCTTTGGGCTGTCCCGGCAGCCGGGAAACAGGGCAGGATCCAGCATTTTCCCCCACAGATCTCTCAGATCAGGAACTGTGATCAATAACCAATCACGGTTATCTGGCGACCTTTCTGTGTGATCGAAAGCACATTTCCTGCACCAAAGCACTACAGAGCTTTGCACACCTGAGCTTCCTCTTCGCAAATGTGCCCTAGTTTAATATTTCCTGCTATTCCGAGCTGGAGGGCAGGCTGGCTGGCCGGAGATTCCAGCCTCCTTGCAGAATACCCCCGCGGGTCTACGGACCTTCTCCACAGGGCGAGGGCCACGGCACTGCTGAGCGCTCTTCCCCACCACTACTTTTCCAGCAGGGTTTTGTCATTAGGAATGGCAAGAAAAGACTCAACAGTGTGATCCTATGGATGTCTACTCAGGAGCAAGGCCAACCAAGTGCAACCAGACTGCTTCCAGGGAAGCACGTCCAGGATTGCGGCTTAAAACTTGGCCAGTGTGCAGAAAATTAAACAGAGACTGGACCTTCGCAGGGGGAGAATTCAAGGGGCGGATCAATGGTTACTCTTCCTTCGCCCAGTCAGCCCAGATCAACAGGGAGCATTAAAGCAAGCTGAAGCTGCTGAACACGGGAATTGTTCAATTCACAATGGAAAGGACCTTCGCTAAAGGAAACGTCCCTGTGAGCAGGAATTTTAGGAAGTTGGTCGTGGAGTTCGACACCGTTGAGTAATATAGCGGTGTGCTAAAGGGTGTGTCGGAATCCCAAGCCTCACCCCACTTCCAGGGAATTGTCTTTGCAACGACCTCCCACAGCCCGGGGCCCTCCAGATGGGCTGGGCTCTCTGGGAGCTGCAGCCCCCCGAGCTGGAGGGCTGCAGGCGGAGGGGCCAGGGCTGGGCCATCGCGAGAAAGGAACCCGAGTTCAAAAGCCATATTCCTGTTCATGCCAGCTTGTAGAGCGGGGGTGAGGGGATGCAGAAAGTGTAGGGGAGGGCAGCTGTTCTTGGGGGCTTCCGGGGGCCCCTGGCAGTACCTTCAAGAGAAACATTATTGCAGCAAGAACGAGAGACCCACTTTCTCCGACACACAAAGAGAAACCCAAAGGATGGCGCATGGCAGCCCCCACAGGACGGCGCATGGCAGCCCACAGACACCTGCTGTGGCCCTGCTGCGGCCCTGCTGCTCGGCTGCTGAGCGGGGCCACCCCCTGCCTGCCGGTCTGAGCTGCGTGGACTTCAGGGCTGGCCGGCAGAGCTCTACCTCCGTTTCTCTTGAAGTGGGAGCTGCAGAAGAGGGGGCAACCGAGCCGCTAGCCCTTGTGGCCAGGCTGGCTGAGGCCCCGCAGCACTCCCCCGACTTGAGGTGCTTTTCCCGGGCAGCTGGACCCCGAGAAGCCCCAGGCCTGTCGCCACCAAACGCCAAGCTCACCCTGCGGCTTCCGCCCTGGGCAAGTCCGAAGCGCCTCACTGATGCTGCCCACGGCGGACGGTGCCCACGTGGGTGGGGAGAGTCGCCAAGGCAGGGAGTCCAAGCCGATCCATCCCTCTCGGGGCGCGGCCGGCAGTAAGAGCGGCCAAGTGTCCAGAAAGCAGGGCCCGCAGGTGGAGAAGGCCGCCGGGCTCCGGTCCCTCCAGCACCCACCCACCGCACCGCCCAAGCCCATCCCGCTGTGCCGGCTTCCTGTCCAGGCATCTGCTCCCAAACCTCTCGGCGCATCGCCGCTGGAGAAGCCCCCCGGCCCCGCCGCCCCGGATCAAACGTCCGTCATCTCGTCCTCCAGCTCGGCCGCATCGGGTTCGGCGTCTGCTTCCTCCTCTTCCTCCTCCTCCTCTTCCGATGTCACATCCGGATCGCCAGCTTGAGCCAGGCACTTGGGACAGCAGCATTCGAACAGGTAGTTTTCCCTGGGGAGAGCGGGACACCTGCGTCACAGCCGGGCGGGTGATCGGAGGCCGGCTTGGGCTGCCCCCCACCCCCGGTGCCAAACCACAGTTCCGGCAACGCCACACGGGGACACTCTTCCCAGCGCCCCACGCCCTTCCTCTGCACCCCATCCCACGTTCCACCACTGCAATGCAGACTGGATGCTCCTCGGGGCAGGTGCCTTAGCCGTTGGCTCGTCAGTGTGCCAGGCACCGGCGACAGGCCAAACGAGGCGGCGAAGGAGGTGGGGCCAGCAAACCAGGGCGGCCAGCGGCTCCCCTCTGTGCCTCCGTCCCTGCATCGGCAGGATGGGGATAACAAAGCTGGCCTACCTTACAGGAGTGGCGTAACCGATGCAAGAGCAGAACGCACTCCAAGGCACCGGAGAGTATTTTTACCATGCATACTGGGGTGCGGAATCCTAACTGGGTGCGAGAACAAAGAGTCCCCACGACACCCTCCGCGCACCGAGGCCTCACCACTTCACCCACGTGCCTTTCTTCCTGGGCCGGGCAAAGCCACTGGGGCAGTTCCCGCCCCTGAAAGCCTGCAGGAGGTTGCCTCTGACGGGAGGCGGCAGCGGAGGCCTCGAAGGCCCAGCCCTCCTGCCCTGGGAAGCAGGCGCTGCGGGCAGGATGCCGAACCTTGGCGGGCCGCACACTCCCCGAGGCACACCAGCGAGCAACTCCAGGCACGCTCCCCCGCCTGCGCCGCGCGGCCGCTTACCGGAGAGTCTTGTGCCGGCTGTGTCGGCTCCGGTCCCGCTGGCAGCAGTCCAGGTAACTGATGCAGATCTCCTGTTTGGACGCAAGCAGGCCGCGGGGGTTCGAGGGGCAGAGGCGCGCCACGGCTCACCGAGCAACGAGCGCGACCGCAACTGTGCGCGGCCTCTCCCCGGAACACGTGCCCTGTGGCCACGAGGGCATCGCCCCACCCCGTAGAAAGAGGCTTCTCAGAGGGGACAGCCCCAAAAGGCGTCCCCAGGGACGATAGCACGAACTTTGACCTGGAGCTTGGGGGCAAGCGATGTCAGCGCATCGCACCGACGCTGCAGCTGATGCTCGCGATCGATTCATGGGCCGGATAGGATCACTCCAGGCGCATGGAAAACGTGTGCAGCGAGCCAGACTTGCACCCTCCGAGTCTACTAGAAAACAATTCCCATCCTCCCAGACAGGACTCCCATGGGTCAGGGAGGTGGGGGGCGGGGGTGCCACAGATTCGGCAACACTGAAAGCCAGCCAGACCCCTGACCCGCCTCAAAATGGGGCCTTTTCGTAGGCTGATGAGCCACTCCATTCTCTTTGAAATGCTGGACCCTCGGCGGGGGAGGGGGGGGAATATGCTACAGCATTCCACAACTGTTTCTTCCAGCAGCTTTGGCTGCAGTACAACTGCCCGAGAGCGTGGGGATGATGGGTGCTGTAGTACAACACTGTTAGAGGGCACCAGGTAGGAGGAAAGCTGCGCTACATAAAAACAGGGTCATGCAAGTGGCTTCTCCTTACAATTTTGCCCTATCGACCCTGCCATTTAAAGCCACTTCCCTGCCCCCCAAAAAGAGGGAGAGGAAGGGGGCCTTGCCCAGGTAGGTCTTTTGCACAAACGGTTTTCCGTCGGGTCCTGGCAGCCGACCCATGCAGGATGCCCCAGGAACCTGTGGAAGGGGTCCCGCCACGCTCACCTCTCCTGGCCTGATATCGGTCAAGGCCGTCAGGTGCAGGAGAAAATTGTTGTCTGGGAATGAGGCCTCAGCGTTGGGAATGCAGCTGTGGTTACCTGCCAGAAAAAGCGAGCAGAGTTACCTTCAGGACATATCAAGGCGCTAAGCCTGTGTGATCATTCCCTGCGACAACAAGGCTGAGCCACCTCCCAAGTTCGGGAGGAAATGCACCCCATTCCCCACTCCCATCGGGTGGCACAGCCTCGTTCCCCGCCGGCTCTGCTTCAGAGGTGCAGCGGGGCATTTTGCCACATGGGCTGTGGTGGCAGCTGCCACTGCAAGAACTTGTGGAAGGCTCCAAATGACACTCATGCGCTTCCCACCATCCCGCGAAGAACTTGGGGTTCTGCCCAAGGTCAGTTTCCCCGCAGGGACTCACAGCAGCTCTGCAGCAGGTACAGGCCAGAGCCTTCACAATTCAGGAAGTCCCCCGTCTCTACATCAAAGCAAATCAGAAAGAGGGAGAGGGAGAGAGAGACCAGGGCAACGTTGGCTTCTCAGCCTAAAATCCTAAACACAGGATTTAGGCAGGGTGGGTAAGCAGAGAGCCATGTCCCCCGCCCGCCAATGTGAGACCCTGGAGCAGACAGGATGGACAAAGGAACGGCTACTTCACACAACGCTCGGCCAACCTGTGTGGATTCCCTTCCCATGTTGGGAGATGACCGACTTGGACGGGGGAGGGCAAAGGTTTAGCACAGGGGTGGCATTTGGGTCCGAGAGGGGCTTAAGCACGGCCAGGGGGCAAGCTGAAAGCCCCCCACACACACACACACACCCCGACCACTTTTTCCACCGGCCCACCACACCCTGTCCGCCCTCACGCACAGCCGTGGTGCCACCCCATTCAGAGTACCATGCGTGGTTCTCAGGAGGATTTTGGCGGGTTGCAGAAAGGGCCCGAGCGGCCCTGCTGGGAGGAGAGCCTGCAAGACCTGGGAGAGCTTAGAGGAAGGGCAGGCACGACGTCGGAGCTCGGAATTACGCCTGGTGTGGTGGAAGTGGGGAGCGGGGCAGCTGTCACGTTTTTCCAACTTGGGGGCTCTGCGCCCCGTGAATAACCCAGGATGGACAAAAGGAAAGACGTCTTCACGCCTCAGGCGGCCGAACCAGGGAACTCGCTTGCGGCGGGGGCCGCCACGCCGGAGGGCTCTGAAAGGGGGCCGGGCACATTCACAGGGCAGGGGGTCCCCCACGGCTCTGTGCTGCCCCCCGTGGCCGAGGCAGGGTGCCTCCGCCACCAGCTGCCAGGGATCGTGGCCGGGAGGGCGCCGTTGCCCTCGGGTCCTGCTCGCGGGCAGCTGCCTGGCCGCTGGCGGAACAGAACCCTGCTCGGGACAGGTCCTTGGTGTGATCCACCGATCTTGCGGCCTGTGGGAGGGAACCGCGGCCAGCAGAGGGGGACCGTGGTCCTGGAGGCACCAGAGTGGGCCAAGGCAGCCCGGGCTGAAGCCCCTCCGGCTGGCCCGGCAGCAGGGCCGCCCTGAGGCTGCTCGCAGCGAGGCTGGGGGGCGATCGTTCCCCCGATCAGCTGAGCTGCTGGGGAAAGCAAGCGGGCTACCTGGGACCCGGAGGGCCACACGGGCGGGGGAGGCGGCCCTCCCCGGCCACCGACACGGGGAAATACCATGCCTGAAAGCTCATGGGCGGGACAGGACCTTGCGGGGGGGGCCCAGACTTGGTGGGGAGCAGTGCCCAGAGCCGGCCAATGGCCCGGCCCGCCCCGCCAGGAGCCCACCCCCCCAAACGTGCCAGCTCAGCATCCTCCACATCCGCTCCGATCCTGCAAGCCACCCGGCACCCCTTGGGACTTCTGGCTCCCGGCGGCAGCTGTCAAGCTGGGCAGTTACTCCTCGGAGCTCCCTGCCAGCGAGGACTGCAGCTCCCACCACCCCCGACCAGCAGGACCCTGCTGGCCAAGATGATGGAGGTGCAGCCCGGCCTGCCAGGGAGGCCCCCCCACCAGTGCGCTCGGCCCAGCCGCCCCCGGCCCCCAGGCTCGGCCCACCTTTCTCAATGTCCTTGTACAGCTGGTCTATGAAGGCGTCCAGCTGCTCGTGCTCCGGTGGGGGGAGCTCCAGGGCATCACAGGCGTGGACCCACTGGCTCAACGAGCTGAGGAACCAAGAGCGCGCTGGTCGGGCCTGGCCTGTGCACCGCACGGCCCCCCAGCCCAGCCCCCTCCCTGCTCCCGGCCAGGCACACGCAGGGCACGCTCGCGAGCACCCCGGGGAGCCTTTCGTGGCCAGGCGGGCCGTGCCCCACCACTCACCTGGTCCCGATCCCTTGGCCGTTGGTTCCCACCAGGGCGAACAGCGACCGGAAGCCTTCAGGGGTGAACCACTGCCGGGGGAAGACGGCAAAGCGACACAGGTCACACGCCACGGCCCGGACCGCCCTGCCGCCCCGCAAGCTGCCAAACGGCACGTGGGTCAGGATGGGGGGACCTAAGCTGGATTCGGCCAGGAGATCTGACCAGGGGCAGCGATTGTGGGCTCAAAAGAGCCACGGCCGAACGGTTGGCTCCTTTTCTGTGGAGGGGGCTCCTGCGGAGCGGAGGAAGCGGAAGAGTGAAGTCACCGGATGAGGAGCTGCTGGTGGTGCCTCAGGGACCCGCAGTCCACGTGGAGCACGGCCTTCGCCGTGGTGGCCCCTCTGTGCAGCTCCCTGCCCCTGGAGAGCAGGAAGGCCCCACCACGGACTTGTTTCTGCCACCTGCTGAAGTCATTTCTAGTTCCATACACCTGGCCAGCCATGGCTTCTATTGGTAAACATGCTTTTGCTTAAAAAACAAAACAACCCTCCCTTTTTGGTTTCCTCCCTTTAAATACTGTTTCTGCCTGCTAAAGGCATCTTCATTTCAAACAGCTTTCCTTGACGGACCCGCCATTTTCACTGCTTTCGTTTTTTAAATACTTTTAATGTGTGGCTTTATTCTTCACATGTTGTAATACGCTGTTCTGTTATTTTCTTTGACTGCTCCCGGCTCTGGAATCTGTTTTGATATGGAGTGGTGTATCAATGCAGCTCATCAATAAATACCTAAACGTGAGCAAGGCGATCGGCTTGCAGTGCCTTCAGCTCATCGCTGCCGCGTCAAAGAGCTACATCAGCTCAATCCAGAATTCCGCACTTAACGGCTGCTCTCTGTACCGGGTCAGCAGGCTGACGAGGTGCAAAGGTGGATGACACAACTCCACCCCCCACCCCCCGGCAAATTTCCCTCCCCGGGGGAGAAGAGGCTCACGGAATAGTAGAGCTGGAAGGGGCCTGGGGGACAGCAGGTCCGCCCCCGGCTCAGTGCAGGACTCCAGTTAAGGCGGCCCTGGCCGAGGAGGGCTGCCTCTCGAACGCTTCCACCGTAGGAGAGCCAGCGCCTCTGCACAGAAGGAGCACCTCCTGCTGGCCAACCAGACTTGGGCTTCCTGCAACCTGTCTTGCACTCTGTGATGACCGAAGAGGGATCCTCTTTGTGACAGCCTTCCAAGAAATTGCAGATGGCTCTCCAATCTCCCTTCCGTCTTCTTTTTCCGAGTTCTTTCAATCCCTCCTCATGGGGCTTTTTTTCCAGTCCTCAGATCATCCTTGTCGCCCTCCTCTGAACCCTTCCCAGCTTGTCTGCGTCCTCCTTAAACTGTGCTGCCCACAACTGGACACAGGACCCCAGAGGAGGCCTCACCAGTGCTGAGTAAAGGGGAACGTTCTTCACTGGATTTGGAGTGGTACTTCCAATAATGCAGCCTAAAATGGCATTTGCACAAAATGACAGTGTTGTCTCATGTTCAGATTGTGATCCACAACCATTTGAAGAGCCTTCTCTCTTGCAGTATCCTTGATCCAAGTTTTCCCCATCTTGCAACGATGCACTTGGCTTCTTTTTCCTAGGAGCAGAACTTGGCATTTGTCCCTCTTGAATGTCCTGCTGTTGCTTTCGGCCCAGCGCTCCAACCTTGTTCCTGCCTTCCAGGGTATTAGCCCTCCCACCCAGTTCTGTGCCGTCTGCAGATCTGATCATCGTTCCCTGCACTTCCTCGCCCAATCAATTAATAAAAATATTGATGAGCCCTGCGGGACCCCACTTGTGACACTTCCCCAGTCTGAGAAGATGGCTCTTTGAGTCTGGTTCTCTGCAGATCAGCGATCTGATCATCGTTCCCTGCACTTTCTCATCCAAGTCACTAATGAAAATGGATCCACCTGCTCATTGTTCCATCACTTTTAGCTCATTTGCTAATCCGGAGATTGTGGGGCAGTAGAAAAGCTTCCCTCGTTTCCTCGCTTGTGTGCAGCCTTCTCCCCAGCTCTTAAAAGGTTAAACGAAATCTTCTCCTCAAGCTTATTTATGGGGAAGGAAGCAATGGCAGCTAAAATTTGCGAGTAGCTTTGATGGCTTTAGGTCCCCACCTCCTTGCCCGCCGTTCCACACTGCCACTGGGGAGCGGGCCCGAGGGTTTCTCCAGCGTGGAATGGAGCCCTCCGGCTGCCAGTGGGTTTGCACCCGGATAAAACATAACCATTCCCTATGGAAAGCCAGAAACCGGCCAGAAATGTTGGACTTACCCTGCTGAGCTGTTCGTCGTAAAGGGCTTCCGTGAAGAGCATGCGCAGGACTTCAAGCTGGCCCTGCAGGGAACCAAGAGGGAAAAAGCTCATTCCACATAGCAGAACAGGCAGGGGGTGGGTCTAGATTTGGGAAAAGGTCTCTGGACAATTTATTATAGATCCCCTTCGATTGCTGAATCCAAATTCTTTCATACCAGCAGCTCCAAAAGGACTTTCCCCTGCGCCCCAGAGGTACTGCTGAGACCCAGGGTACATGCATTTCCACGCAAAAAGGCCGAGCGCTGCTCAGTCTGAACAAGTTCCTATTCTCAGAATTCTTTCCTTCCAAGTAAATGCTTTTTGCGCTGGTCAGTGGGTCTCAGGGCTCCAGTAGAAAGCCCAGGAGATCCTGCACTCCAGAAATCGCCCCACCACCTGCATCGAATGCAGGACAGGGCCAGGAGGCCCACGGAAGGCCGGGCGAAGGTGCGAGCAGGGGTGCTGCGCGACCCCAAGTGGGATCAGCCCCCGCATGGGGAGAAATGCACATCTGGTGGAGCAAAGGAGAAGCCGGCTGCCTCCGGGGTGCCAAGCTCTGTTTCCCAACCTTGCTCTGCTCCTCAGGGAGAGACTAAAAGAAAGCCTTGCAGCACCAAAGAAATCCACAACCGAGGGCTTCCAGGGAGGGGTTCTCTTAGGAACAATCACTTTCTCGGCAAATGTGCCACCCAGATTCTGTGCCCAAAAGTACAGAAAAGGATCCCCCCGTATCCAAATGATGTGCAGAGCACATGCGCAATACTCAGCATCTCCTGGAAGGGTAAAGATCTGGGTCCTAGTGCCCCCTTGGCCAGGACACTCACTGGGTGACTTTGGCCCAGCTGCTGGCTCTCAGCCCAAGCTACCTTGCAGGGCTGTTGTGAAGTCACCAATGAAGAGGAGAAGGGTCACACCGCCTGCAGTGAGGCAATGTGGAGCACGACCCTTTTTTTCGGGTTGATGCTCCTTGCTTTCCTGGGGCACGCTGACCTTAAATTTGTCCCCAAGGAGCTTGTGGACAATTTCCTCTTCCTCGTTGGCGGTTTTACTGCAGAACTGCGAGAAAAGCGTGATCCACCAGTCTTTGTCTTTAGCCTAGGAGAAAGCAAACAGGAAACTTTCCCCCTCTTTTCGCAGAGGAGACGGGGCCGGAGGTCTGTGCGAGCACAGCAAGGGAGCAGACGGGGGTGCCAAGAGGAACCACGCACAGAAAACGGGCACTTCAAAGACACGGTGACGGCAGCTGCGGCACAGCGAGGCTACCTGCTCGGCTGGAAAGGGGATTTAAGGAGCAATCCCACGCAGGCGAGAGAGAGAGAGAGAGAGAACGAACGGCCTACAGCTGCCGGCACCGTGCGCAGGGGCAGGCTGGGAAATGCAGGCCTTCGGTCTGCCTGGACACGCTGCATCCTCTCTGCTCCCAAGAAAACGGAAGGGAAGGCAGCTTGCGGGCTGCCTCTCCGCCATTTCCTGCACTCCGGGCCACCTCGGGTGCGACAGCTGCTTCGGGAGCATGCTTTCTTCCAGGCCGCTCTCGCCAGGAGGGACCGGCATCCAGGATCCAACGCTGCCCACACACAATGCGGCGTGGCACGCACCATGAACGGAGAGGAAGAACTTGTGGAAACGATCGGGCACGGGTGGAAATGCCCGCTTCCAGAAGAGCACAGGCCTGCGCAGCCTGCAGCAGCGGGGGGGCGCGTTGCTCCAGGAGGCGCAGGTGGCGGGTCCCTGGGATGCAAGAGGTCCTGCGGAGTCCGAGCTCCAGCCCTGGAGGCCGCCCTGGATGTCCCCCGGGCCCCGGGGGGCAGTTCTCTCCACACTTGAGCCCAGCGAGTGTGGGGCTCAGCTGGGAGGGGCTGCAGGGCGGGGAAGGAGCGACTCCAGTCCACAGGCGCCTGCTCCCAGAAGCCCTGCCGGGCAGCCCATGGCCATGTGGCCGGAGACAGCAGAGTTGGGCCTCGGCCCCAGGCCAGAGCCCGTGCCGGCCCCTTGGGGATCACCTCTGCAAACACAGGCCGGCTGCATTCACACGTGTTGAGAAGCGGGTGGGGCAGCGGCTCCCCCTCCCCGATCGACGGTCACGGCTTCACCACAACCTGGGCCAAACCACGGCTCCCAGCAGTCCTTTCCTCCCCACCCACAATCCCCCCTGCCTGGCTCAGCAGCCATGGCCCAGCCACACACCTGCTTGACCGTCGCGACCATCCTGGCCATCAGCATGATGCTCGCGGTCTCCGGGGGGTAGTGCATATTCCTGGACGCGAGAGAGGAGAGGTGGGGGAGCAGCCTTCAGCATGAGACCCCCCCCCCGGTCCAAAGGGCCACCTACGCCGGCTGCTCTCCGAGGACGGGGACACCTGCTGGCCGGCCCCCTGCAGACCGGTCTCTGCTCTGGGCCGGCCCCTCCTCCTTGCTTTGGGAACAGCTCCCCAGGGTTTCCGTCTAAATCTAAAGCTCAGACTCAGATCTAAGTCTAAAGCTCTTCCGATTGCCAGCCGCTCCTGGCAGAAAAGACCTTTCTCATTACCCGCCAACAGACCCTTCACCACACAGGGCTTTCTGAACGCCAGGTCCCATCACTCCAACCCGTACTGGCTGGGGCTGATGGGAGTCGCAGTCCGGCATCAGGTGAGTGACTGTGGGTTTGGCATGAACGTTGCAGTGGCGATGCTGGGGATCCGCAGGATGGAGGTTTCTCTGACCACTGCAGCAACCGGCTGGTGGTACGGGCAGCATCCTAAGTGAGGCTAGGGCCCAAGTCTCTTGGGCAGCTGAAGGAATCTCAGCCGATTAATCCCACACACAGCGATCCGTTCACATCAGTGCGCTCGTTGCAACCAATGTGCTCTTGCTTTTGTAAAGGCGCCTTTCTGAAGGCGGGGAGGACAAGAGCCCTACTTCTCCGGGAAAAGCTTAGATGATGCATGGTGCTGCTGTCTTAGAAGCAGCGATGGCGGGACAGCAGCCACTCTAAGATCGTTCGCATGTTTTGCAGGAACATATTCCAAGCAACGAGGATGCTTTTTTGGGACTTGCGGCCCGATTCCTCAGAAATGGGTAAATCTCACTGGGCGGCCAGGAGGGAGACTGACGCACCCTAATGGGGCAGTGTGCGGTCAACCCGCAGCGGCTTCCAAATCCCGGCTGGGTGACCACAGAAGCCGCCAAGACGTTTTCTACCCTCCCACCCACCTAGCAATGGGGCTGTGGAAACAAGGCCTCTGGTGGGGAATGGCTACGTCAGTCCTTGCTCTGAAAAGAAATCCTACATCTGAGGCGTGTGGGCCTTGGCAACGGGGGCTTTGCGTTCTCCACCCTTCACCAAGATGGCAGCCTTCAGATGGCTGGACTGCAGCTCCCAGGATTCCCAGCCCATGTGGCAACAGGGAATCATGGGAGCCGCTGTCCAGCTCACGTGGGGGCACCTGCTTGGGAAGCACGGCCCCCGGGTCTGGCTGGTGGACCCTGAGGTTCTACAGAGAGGGGCCCTCAGCCCTGACATCCATCCGCCTGCTAGCAGCCTGAGGACGCCCGGCTGCTTTATTTCCATCGAGCCCCTGCAAAAGCCACACTCTTTCGCCCCTGACGGGGCAGAGGGCCCTGGGCACAGCCAGGCCCGCTTACCTCCATGCCTCCTGAAGCTTGCTGAGCGGGTGACCGGGGTCCCCTTCAGAGGGCCCCAGGCAGAGGGCCTGATGGTACCGCTCCCACGCCACCTGCCGGCACTCGGCACTGCAATAGGCCACCTGCGGAACAGCAGAGCACCGATGCCAGCAGCGGGCACGCGCCTCGTGAGCGGAGGCTCGCTGGAGCAAGACGCGTTGGGTGCCGGCGAGGCTCGCAACGCTTTGGGGGGTGAGGGGCGCGACGGAGACGGGGCTTGGCAGCGGAAGGGGTTGAGGAGGAAGGGCTGCAATCTTGCCCCCCCTGGCCCCTCTCATGCAAACACGTCCCCCCACAGCCAAGAACACCCCCCCTTACCTGGCAGCTGGGACAACGCTCGTGGAGATCCTTACGGATGCTGCACTGCTCCGGGTGAGGCAGGGCCTGAAACCTCCCCAGCAACCGCTGGGCGTTCTCCTCCGCGGTCTCCAGGGCTCGCAAGCAGTGGTCGCAGGCTGGAGGGGGGCGGGGGGGAGACAGCATTGGGGTGGGGGGGCGTCATCTCAGCCATGACTGTACCGAGTGTGAACACCCGCTGTGCCTACTTAGACAGAAAATAGCTGCACGGTGTCCAGAATGCCGCAGCCAGCCTGGAGGACCTTATCCTATCTGAACATGCGCAGAACTGTACCTCGGTCATTAAAAAAAAAAATCAACCCTTAACGAAGTCGTTAACCCTCGCAGTCGTTCTACAGTGCCAGCTTGGAATGGAGCAAGCCATCAGCGGGACCACCGGGCCCGGATCAGGTCTCCCCAGACATCCTTCAAGGCGGCGGGAGTAAAGGAAGCAAGTGACCGAAAAGCAGTCTCAGCCCAGGGCCTTCCGCACCCTCTGAGTTCGCATCCCAGCACCATCCCGTTGCGTTTTAACCCATCCTGAGGGAAGGCTGACTGGCCTAAGACAACCCCACATTTCTTAGGCATTCTTAGTACTGAACTGCCAGCCACGCTCCGGGCTCTTGAGAAGAGTTGATGGCGTCGCCTGCTGCCCGCGAGCTGGAACTGCCGGGGACGGACTGTGCGGGCAACCGTGCGGAAGCAGCGGTTCTTCCCTTCAGGCTATTTATTTACATTTATTTGTTTATTTAAAATATTTCTATGCCGTCCTAATCGCAAAAAAAGCCTCAGGACGGCTTACAAAATAATAGCATAAATAAAATTACTGACCCACACTGGCTGCACTTAAAAACATAGAAAAAACAATATTAAAACTTAATAAAATACCACTGGAATAAAAAGGTCTTAACGTGGCACCGAAAAACAAATAATGACAGCGCCAGGCGGTCCTCTCTGGGGAGCGCATTCCACAGATGGGGCGCCACCGCAGAGAAAGCCCTCCTCTGGGTGCTTTGCCTCCTAATATCTTTCACGGGGGGCTCCTGGAGAAGGGCATCTGTTGCCGATCTCAAGGGGCAGGAGGGCAAATATGGAAGCAGGCGTTCCTTCAGGTCTCCTGGTCCCAAGCCGTTTAGGGCTTTATAGGTAAGAACCAGCACCTTGAATTGAGCCCGGACTTCGATGGGGAGCCAGTGAAGCTGGTAGAGGACTGGGGTTATGTGAGAATAACGCCCATTCCCCGACAGCATCCTGGCAGCTCTGTTTTGCACCATCTGAAGTATCCGGACTGTCTTCAGGGGCAGCCCCACGTAGAGCGCGTTACAGAAATCCAACTGGATTATACATGTAGTTATAGGGCCGCCTGTAACTGCCAAGCCTTCCTAGGTGGCTTACAGTGCATGAAACATATTAAAACAAAATGAGGCACGTTAAAAACCTATTAACACACAACAGATTAAAACATCTGTAATAGCAATATAAAAAGGGCCACAGCATACAGGCCAAACGTTAAAAAAAAAAAAATCCCCCAAAGGCATGTCTTTGCCTGGCACCAAAAGGAAAATGGAGACGGCGCCAGGCGAATTTCCCTAGGGAGGGAGTTCCAAAGATGGGGAGCGGCAGCGGAAAAGGCCCTTCGCCTAGCTGCCGCCCTCTCACCTCCCTGCGGGGTGGTTCTCGCAGAAGGGGCCTCCTGAGCTGAGGGTCTATGGCCCCCCCAGAACACGCAGCTGGACCCCAAGGTGGATCTGGATTTCCAGGGGCTGCAAGTGTGGGGAACACCACTGCCTTCCGGGACCCAGGAGGGCTTGTCCTCCCTTAACCAGCGGCTCTTCCAGACGGATGGGGACGGGGACGGGGGCGCTGGCATCAACTCTGCTTCAGCATCACCCCCCACACACCACACACAACTCCTCCGTGGACACAGCTTGCCAAGTCCCTCGCAACTCTTGCCCCTGCCTGACCCAGGTCCCCAGGTGAGGCGAGTGTGAGCCCCACCGGTGGGGAGAAATCAAATGACCTTCGAGGAGGCAAACCTCTGCCGGAGAACAGAGTCTACATCTAAGGCCAGTTCTGGCATGCGGGTTCTGTAAGATGACGCATACCTGACGCTATAACTCCCTGTCCATCCGGACTGGCTGATAGAAATCGGGGTGCAAAAGCAGAACTTCCAAGCCGAGCTCAGCATGGCGAAAAGGGCTTGGCCCACCGGAAACCACAGCTGTTATTTCCAGTCTCTTACTGGGGGCGGCAGTGAGACTCCTTCAGCAGGGGTGCAGAGCTCTGGCAGGCTGGACTAGGTGATGGGTGGGAACTGCCATATGCCTGTTATGGGTTTTAGGAGCTCAGCCTGCTGCCCTGCCCAAGCGACAGAGCAGGGATTTTTCCAGGTCTCCCAGCTAGGCAAGCCCAGGCCCGGGAAAACCCACCTGGTTCTCGTGGCCACATGATCTGGCAGAAGGAATCAACTGCCAGGCCGCTGCAACACAATTATTGAAAGCATAAAAGAATAAAAGCACACACTCTCACAGGAATAAATAAAAGCAAACAGGTGCTGGCAGTGGCGAGGAGCGCTTCCCTTCAGCTTTGGCTGATACATCAGCTGCGTCCTTACCTGGATGAGCATTTCCTGGCAACCGTGACCCATGCTCTGGTAACCTCCCGTTTGGACTACTGCAGTGCACCCTGCATGGGGCTGCCCTTGAAGACGGTCCGGATACTTCAGTTGGTCCAGAACAGAGCTGCCAGGTTATTAGTGGGGACCGGCAGATACTCCCGTATCACGCTGGCCCTATATCCTTTACACTGGCTGCCAACTGAAGTCCAGGCCCAAGTTAAGGTGCTGGTAATGACCTATAAGGCCCTAGACGGCTTGGGTCCGGGATACTGAAGGAGCGCCTTCTCCCCTATGTGCCGGCCCAGCCCTTGAGAGCGGAGGCAGAGGCCCTCCTCCAGGAGCCCTCCTTCAAGGAAATCAGGAGGGTGGCTGCCCAGGGAAGGGCCTTTTCAGTGGTGGCACCCTGACTGTGGAACAAGCTCCCCAGGGAGGTTCACCTGGTGCCGTCACTCTATTCTTTTCGGCATTAGGCAAAGACCTTTTTATTTTCCCGGTATTTTATCAGTTAACTGGTTTTATCTTTGATGTTATCATTGTTTATCGGATGCAGTGTGTTCTGTATTGTATGTGGGTGCTTTGTGTTTTGTAAGCCAACCAGCAACTTTAGCAATGGACGGCATACAAAAACTTCAAATAAACAAACAAACAAACAAATGATAGGCTTTCTCCAAAGAAAGAGGGTACATCTCCTCACCTCGGTATTTATAGAGGGCGTTCCAGAGGAACTGGGCCGACACCACAGGCTTCTCGACGAAAATAGTTTCCCCTTTAAGAATGTCTCTGGTTGCAAAGAGTCCTTTCCCCTATAAATGGAGAACAAATATAATAAAACAAGCCTGGGATTCTGATGGAGGAACATCACGGACCACGCAAACCCAACTCGCAGATCCCTCTGGGCTAAGAAATGTGCCTGCTGAGCCGGGGAGAGACTCGATTCCTCGGGTGAGATCCACAACCGGCAGCCGCTGTTCCTCAGCTGGTGTCCCCAGACAGTGGGTGTGCTCAGGCAGCCCACCCCGAGTTAATACAATCCACTACAGGCGCTTATGTGAGCAGGCGGCATTTGGAAGATTCAAGGGCTGACCAAATCTTATCATGTTATCCAAACCTAGCAGGAATGGGTTGCGCAAGGCTTAAGCAAGATTCGCATTACCCGTGGCTTGTTTGGGGGTTCTGTGAGGGTTATTTGATCCCAAAGTAACCCATCCATTAATAGGAGCTGATGGAATATTGTGTCCTCTAAACCCAGCAGGGGTGGGTTGCTTAATCCTTGCACAACCCGTTCCTTCTGGGTTTGGGTGACGTGATAAGCTATGGACTTGCACAACTCATGGATTATTTCAGGGTTACGTGAGGGCTGTTTCACACCCACACAAGTCATGCCCACTGGGTTCCGACAACACAGCAAGCCATGGTGGTGACCTGAATATTCAAAAGCCACCCACCGCCACAGGCCACAACTCACTGTAGCTTGTGGAGATCATGCAAACCAGGTCAGTGTGTAATTCAAACGTTGCCTCCAGGTTTCAGGGGGCACCCATCACACCATCTGACAAACATTCCCCTTACGGTCTCCTTCATGGCATTTCTATCGCTAGAGCTCTCTGAATGGCTTAAAAAAGATTAATTCCTTAAAACGTGCAACATGAGAGCAGCCTATGTGCAAACGCAAAACAGAGGGACCGGCACAGTTGTAACACCAGAGCAGGGGACCCAAAGGAGACTGGTGCCCCGATCCAGCAATGCCAACTTGCTCTGCCAAGACCCACAGACAACCAGTCCCGCATGGGGGTGCAAGAAGAAGAGAACGGTGCAAAGGCATTTCAGCCTTTCAAGAAGGGTCTTCACAGACTCAGCTTCCGAAATGCAGCAGCCAGCAAGAAGGTCCTTCCGCAGATGCTCCAGGCTCCGACCCCCAGGCGTTTCTCATGCTCGCGGGTGCTGAGGGAGCCGAAGTCCAAAAATCTGCTGACCTACTTTCTGCCCCCCACCGGCCCGTTAACGCCTCCTCCAATCCGCTCAGCCCCCAAACAAGCACACCGTTCCGCATCCAGGCCTTGGGGGCTGAGACGCACGGCCAGCCTGCGGCAGGGGAGCGGGCCTTCGCGCCTCTCCGTCCAAGGGGCTCCTTCCCACGCAGCGCCTGGCGGGGAGCGAGAAGAGCCGCCCGTTCCCCCGCTTCCGCCGAGAGCGGCGCTCCTCCGCCCGGGCGCCCGCCCGGTGGGCTGCACTGCGACCCGGAGGGTTCCCGGCCGGCGTGGGCTGCGAGCCCGATCTGAAAAACGCCCGATGCCGGGAGGCGCGACGTGCTTCAGCCGCTGGCCCCGGCGGGGCACGACGAGCCCGTGCGCCACGCCAGTCGGCAGGGGCCGAGCCGGCCGGGCATGATGGGAACTGCAGTGCAGCGCACCTGGACGAGGCCCGCCCGCCCGCCGGGCACGTTTCCTCGCATGCCCTTCGGCTGCTGGCCTGAGGGAAGGGCCGCGCCGCCCGGGGAGGCGGGAGCTGGGGCGCCCAGCCTTGCGCGCGGCTTGCCGGGCCGGGCCGGGCCGGGCCGGGCCGGGGCTCACCTTGCCGGGGCCGATGAAGCGCACCTCCAGCGCTCTGCGCCGCGCCGGGCCGGCCGCCTCCACGCAGAAGGCGAACGCGTCGCCGGCGGGAGCCGCCATCACGGCCCGACTGC